AGCTAGAAAACTCAGAATGTGCTTTAATAGTCTAAAGAAGGTTATCGAAACACCAACTGCATCACATCCTTCTGCACATCACAAGTTCTCCGTCTCCGAAACCGCTTAGTACTGACGCAGCCTTTCCCAGTGAGGGTCGTGCTCTTTTGGATTCCGGCTAGCAGATTCATTTAATCACAGCTCGTTTTGCAAAACAGTTTCAGCTTAGGCAATCTAAGTGTTCGGTTTATTTATCTGGTATTGGGGCCTTGCTTCCAGTTGAAACTGAAGGTTCCGCCAGCATTGTTATTCAATCCAGAAAATCCGAACACAACCGAGAATCAACCTCTGCTATCCCTTGATGCGACTGGATAATTTCCTCTAACATTTTTCAAATCTTTTTCAAAACATCTCAGCGTGTTGATCTACTTAAAGGAGCAAGCCTTTTCTATGATATACTCTGCGTAGGCCAAATCAAACTAAAAAGCGGGATTCCCTTGCTGCGAAAAACTTGCTGGTGTGTGAGGTTACTGGATTTGGACATTATTCCCGCAGTTCTGTTCTTCTGGCAGCTGCCAGCTACACGGACGAATATCAACCCACAAAAAAAAAACAGTTTGGACAAGCTAGTTAAAAGTTTCTGATAGGTTGAAAATTGTTACGGGCCAGCAACTGTTGCAACAAAGGAGGAGCTTGCGTGTAAAGAGCATTACAAGGTCCCTTTTTCCAGATTGCCTACCGGAGAATTATGCGCACAGCTACCTCTCAAACTTCGTACAAGCCTGCTTCGTGATTCGTATCAGCAAGCGTATCGCAGGTTTCTTCATTTGGAGCGCAAGGAGTATATTGATTTGCACCACATATCTCTTGTGGGAAACCACTTAGTTGATCAATGTGAACTCTACCTACAACTACCACAAAGCTTTGCGTAGTGTTTGATGGTTCGACCTTTTCTTCAACAGGGTATTCGCTAAACGACATATTGATGTCAGGTCCCACTTTTAAGCCAAAATGATCTACTACATTGCTTCGTTTCCGTTCGGTCACTGTCTCTCTAACTGCGGACATTTGCAAAATGTACTGTTGTGTAGGTGTATCTACTGAAGATAGCTTCCTGCAATGTATACTCTGGCGAGATTCTCCGCATGATGAGCTAAAGACTTTCAAATTGGACACAGTCTATGCAACAATATGCAGTGGATGAGAAATCAACCTATCCGATTGGTTCACAAGTCATGCTTCTCGATTTTTACGTAGATGACTTGCTTACTGGGGGAAATTCATCAGTGGAGGTGAAGAAAATTATCCGACAAGTAACAAGCCTTCTTGCTCATAGAAATTTTAAAATTCGAAAATGGTGGTAGAACAATGTTGCAGTAATAAAAGAAATTTCTACAGAAGATAAGGAACCATTCGAAAGGTTCGATAATGGAAGCGACATTACTAAGGCGTAAGGATTGGCTTGGAATCCGTTTTGTTCTCGTTCTTCCCCAGTCAAGTTCCGAAAAAACATACAAAACGATCTGTTTTGTCGACTATAGCTCGATTTTATGGCCCGCTTGGCCTTATAGGGCCAGTCATAACCAAATCTAATATTTTTCTTCAACAATTATGGAAAGAAAAACTTCTTTGGGCTGAGAGCCCTCCAACTGCTTTAAGCACTTCTTGAACAGAATGCAGAAAATATTATTTCCTAGATTGGGATTCCTTCAAAAAAACAGCCTTCAAAAACAGGGATTTTGGAGCTTGCCTATATGCTGTTTCCTTCAACAACAATGAATTAAAGGCCAACTAACTATGTTTGAAGTCTATTACTGTACCTAATTTGAAGCTATGTGGGACCGCCCTACTCGCACAATTAATACATTAAGTTTCCCTGATGTTTTTTAGCGTCGTTTTAGCATGGATCAACAGTCAACCTTTCAACTTCAATGTATTTGTTGCGAATCGTCTTGCGGCAATACAGGAGCTCACAGCTAAAATGACTTGGCTGCATGTTCGAACAAATCTTAATCCGGCTGATTTACTGTCCCGGGGAGGACCACCAGCCGAACTTATCAGCTCGGCATGGGCCGTCATACTTAGCAAAAGACAGTATGACGCTGAAGACTCGGAAAATAATCCTATTGGGACGAGGCACTTCTATGTTTTTGGTAGAGAATTCCAAATCTGTCAATTCATTCGCAAAAATGCAACAAATCTTTGCATTTGTTTGCTAATTTTTTTTACAAGCGAAAATAAAAATTAACAGTAGATGTTGTTCGTCTGGGAACAAAATTGTTTCTGCGATTGACACAGCGGTCTCAATTCGAAAATGAGATTAGGATTCTGAAATCAAGCAAGTGTATCAACCTATCAAATCTGATTAGAGGAAGGTTTTTGGATGAAAGCCGATTGTTACGTGTGGGTGGACGACTTAGAAATTTTACTCTAGATTTTGCAGCACGACATCCCATAATAATGCCCAGGAAGCAGCCCATTACTTCGATTCTTATAAGGCATTTTCATGAAACGCATCTTCACGTAGGACCTCAATCGCTCTTGGTTATTATACGACAGACTTTCTGGCCAATAGGCGGGCGGAAATCTGATCTACCCGCCGAACGTATGACCGAATCGTGAGCGTTCGTAATAACCGGCGTGGACTATTGTGGACCATTCTTGTACAAGTCAGAATTTCGCTATCGACAACCGATAAAATGCTATTTTAGTATTTTTATATGCTTTTCTACTAAGACAGTTTACAAAAAGCTCGTAAAGAACCTCTCAGCACAAGCATTCCCTTCAGCCCTGAGGCGATTTATATGAACTCGCGGGCGTCAAAGCAGGATATTGTCTGATAATGAATTTTGTGGAAGCAAAAAACGAGCTAGCCGAGTTGAAGGCATTATTTGTAAGTGATTTTCCCCAAGCAGCTGTTCATCATATGTGCCGTAACGATTGCATTGATTGGCATGTTATTCCTCCAAAGTCGCCGCACTTCAGATGCTTGTGCGAAGCTTCAGTTAAATTTGCAAAATATAATCTTCGTCGCGCACTTGGATCGTTGATGCTCAATTTTGATGAGCTGAGCACACTTATCTGCAACGTTTCTGTGATTATTACTCGAGACCATTGTTTCCCATTTAAGACAACCCTGCAGACCTTGAGACACTTACTCCTGCTTATTTTTGTTTGGCACGCCCATCACGTCCTTCATAGAGCCTGACCTAGTCAACTTAAACGTCGATCGACGTTAACGCAGGTTACACAGCTTCAACAAATTTTCTGGGTTTGATGGCGCAAATCAAGTCTTCACGAACGAATAAAGTGGCGAAAACAGTAGAACCGCAGCCTCGAATCAACCATGTCGTTCTTGTCGAAGATGAAAGCCAAACGCCTCTGAAGTGGTCAGTGGTAAGAGTAGTTCAACTCATACCAGGACCTGATGGAGTGTCTCGTGTTGCCTTGATTAAAACCGCTACTGGATCCAGCCGTACAGCAATTCCCAAACTTTGCCTTCTACCAATCAGAGATGAAACCCCGAAAGCCCTAACGGGGGGAGTATGTTTGGGCTAGGGCCAACTTATATACGCCTGAACTTTCCCTCCCAATCTCACTCTCAACACATCATCTCATTTTCTTATCGTCGCCGAGCGACTTAAGCTGCAGCTGCGACTGCAAAGTTTGAAGAAAGTTCTTTTTGAGTTAAACAGAAGTACGAATCGATCCCCATTTGATTGTCGTTGGCACGAACTATTTTCGCTTGATTTACCCAAACTCATTTCTTCTTTAAACCATTATAAAACAGAGGCTCTGGCCTAATGACACCCTTAATAAACACATGTTTATACCGTGTATTGAAATTAAACTCTGTACTTATTATTCTCTGTGATCAGAGTGGAACTCAAAAAGGCCTCGTAAAAGCTTTAGGCTTCAAAAGTCTGTCTAAAAAACAATTTTAATTTTTTGTTTGTTTCTTTGTTCCATACCTACTTTAGGGTCTTAGCTATAATTTTTTTTCAGATGATCCTGAAGAAAGTTCTGCTGTTCAAGCGAAGAGACCTTTTTTCCAAGGGACTGCCGGAAGTACAAAAAGCTCGTAAAGGCTCGTCGTAGGAGCCACAAAGGGCGTCATAATTTTCACAAAATATTTTAAACATAAACAAATTTGAATAAAATATTTTCTTTTTTATATGAAAACAAAACAGAATTCCCCTATATATGTTTATGAACATGCCGTCTTTAAACTGCTTAAAGTACTACAACTCTCCCTTTATATGAATTTCCTCAATTTACGTGAAGAAATTGAAGCCATTTTTTATATTTTCCATACATTAAATATTTAATTTATCGATACTATCGATATAATATGACATTTTCGTAGTTATAGCTATTTACAAAATCATATTTATTTTTTATATTCTGACAAATACCCATGTTTATGGTTGCCTGCCAGTTTTTAAGCTGCATCTTTACAGTACCAAAACTATCCGTTCATATCGGTTCTTTTAATTAACTGGTATGGATATATATGAATATTTTATATTTTCGATGCATAAAATATATAATATATATATGAATATTATATATATATTATACCATTTTCATATATAATTATCTTATTTAATGCAGGTATTCAAAAAAAAAATAAATTTATTATATTTTCTGAGAAATACCCATATATTTGGTTGCCAGCCAAAAGTCTATCCCTTATATAGGTTTTTGAACATGCTGTCTTTAAACTGCATGTTTACAGTACTACAAATCTCCGTTCATATGGGTTCCATTTATTATTTTTATATTTTCCATACATTTAGTATTAAATATGGTACATCAATTTCATTGATATGTTAAATCGTTTTTTTTCCAAGCAATCCCATGTAACCCCTTGAAATAACTAATATCTATGAAGTATAAATAGAAAACAAAATACAAAACAAAAAAACATACATACTGAAATTTAAAATTAAAATAAGCGGCCTTTTTCCGGTGTGAGGACAGTCTTCTAAACTGTTACTGTTGGTTAAATCAGTTCTTACTATAATAGAGCCAATCAGCAATGGGAGATATAGCAATTCCACATTTAAATACGTCCTGTTGTGTACCAAGAACCATCGATGTAACATATCCCCCATAGCCCCAACCCCACATACCTACTCTAGTTTCATCTAAAAATCCTATAGTATCAAGCAAATACCTAAAAAACACAATTTTTCATTTAAAAATTGTTATAAAACTTAATATTTTACTACTTACCTTAAAACGGATATTTGATCTACCACTTCAACTCCTCCTAAATGATGGAACAGTGTTTTTTTGCTTTGTCCCTTGGACCCTCTTACATCTAGACGGACATAAACAACATCGTTTCTTGATGACATATATGTACCCCAGTCTATTTTAAACTTCTCGGAAACTGATTCTGAGCCGGGACGACCATTTCTGAAAGAAAAAAATAATTATTTTTAATGTAGGCTGAAGTAATTTTAATATTTATCGCTATGCGTACTTTCAAAATGTGATTTAAAGGGTTACATGGGTATTGTGAATATAAAAAATTGATTTTGGTTTTTAGGCTAGTAAAATACGCGTATCAAATGGATTTGATCGATTCTATTGAAGGTATGAGTTTAGAAAATTGCGCCCTTTGGATCAATTAGATTGACGCGACAGCCAGTGAACAATGCAACTTAAAAATGAACTGATGTTCTACATGTTTTAAACATGACACGTTGTTAAAATCGAGTTTTCAAACGAAGGGTTTTAACTGTAAACAATTTTTTTTAACGAAAACTGTATCTTATTTCATAAACTGTGCACCAAAAATTCAAATTTGATATACTTTTAACTTCCTTTCTTATTTTAAATCTTTTTGCAATATATCTAGAAACAGGCCAGAAACTATGTTCTCCAGATCGAAACCTTTTTCACACAAGTCTATTTTTTTGTATTACATTAATTTTTTTAATTCGTTTATTTATTAAAATATTGAATGTACAGCTTTTGTCCGTACTTGGTGTACAGCTAAGCTATTATTTCAAACTCCTCCCTTTCTTGTCGAACCTGATACACAAAAAAAATCGTGCTCGCGCTGCGACATGTGGAAATAGGTCTATCCATGATTCCTTTCAAGTCATTCCTTAAGCTGTGAAATGAGGCAGAAATTTCAGCGACTTTCCCACTATTGTTCCACCTGTTTCTCTATTCCTTCAGTGCTTACTGCCTTGCCTGAGAAACGAAACGTCCTTTGGCACTAGAGGGCAAAATTAAGCTATGCAGCGCTTGGGAAACATTGTGGTCATGCGCATTGACCATTATAAGAGAATGTAAATAAGTGTAAGTAAGAGTGTAAGTGTCTCGCCGTAAAAGTCTGGTGTGAGTGTGTGTTTGTCATGCAATGGCTTGCATTTGGCTTATGGAACTTTGCTCATCATCTCACGATATTAAAACCCAGGTCGAGTATACAGAAACAACGACTTTTCTAAGTTAAAAAAATTTAACTTAGAAGCCTAACAATAGATAGTTTGGGCGACATTCGTTAGATTTTATATTAAACATTAATTTTAATTTAATGGTTTTTTAATCAAAATATTACATTTTTGGTATTTTTTAAAAGCGTTATGTACAGCTTGATATCCAGTTACGGTTGCAAAAGTCAAGGTTCAAAGTTAAATCTTCTCGAACAAAGTGGTCCATGAAAATGGAAATGTCTTAATAACGTCAATAGAATTCTTAAAATTCGAAGGCTGATCGGCAACCAAAACAAGACATTCATATAATAGAACATTAATTTTTTCGTAAAAACACACAAACAGGAACAAGACTTAAAACCTAAATAGATTCGATTAAAACAATTTTTGAGTCTACCGATATCGGAGCCTTAAGGTATGTTACGCAGCTCCCACTCTAACGCCCACAAACCGCGAAACTGTGTCATGACACTCTGAAACATGTTAAGTACTAAAAAGAATCTATCCTGGCTGGGGTATGTCTTAGACCGGCGATGGTCGCCTACAGAAAATTTAGAGGCTTGGAAGTTTCGAAAATTTTTCTAGAGAGTAAATGGACAAAAGTTGAAGGTGATCGGACCGATCTCTGCGAGGATATACGGGGATCAACTGAGGCTGATCGCCAGTATTGGATGTTGGAGAAACTTGTCTTAACCGAGGCTTTCCGCCCTAACGGCTGCGGGGCAAGCGATGAATGGGTGGTAATACAATTGCAGAAACAGAAGCTTTGCGCCTGTCTGCAGTAATCGAAAATGCATGTGAAGATCGGGTAACGATACAATTACGCTCCTCATTCTGACGGACTCAGCTAATCCAGGAAAACCTAAAAACGTGGTCTGCTTGTTGCATATGAGCGCGTAATCCTTGAAACTGGCACTGAAGAGTCCTTCGTACGAACTCCAGAAAACGACTCCCTCATTGTTCTCGTGACAGATCCCACGCATGCCAAAGTTCTGTTGTATTCCGTTTTTCTCGCTGCTTCTGTCTGCTCTGGCTCGCTCGATCTAATTGTCCTGGATTCCAGCCTGCGGATTCCAACGCAGGTGGCTTTCGAGTAAGCTTCCTCTTTCTCTTCTGCTCCTTTCCGCTATGCCGCTGCCTACGCTTGCTCTCGGTTTATCTTGCTCTCGTTTCCTCTACTACCGCTGCCTTAGCGGTGACAAATTAGACTATCATGATTATATTGATGATTATATTTATTATAACACAATGTATGCGGTTATAATGTAAAAAACTGTAATGCTAAGAAACTTATATATCTAGAAAAAGATTGTGGGCTTTAACACACCCTTCCTTTCCTTTGCCAGTCAAAGAGAGACGGTGACTTCGTTTTTCGTGTTAATGCGCTCCTTGTGTTGTTGTGCGTTCCCTGCCTTTAGGACACGGATGTTGCAGCGAAGATTACAAGCCACGAGGGCTGCAGTCTCTCCACGACACAGCGAGACAAGTTGCACTATGATGGGTGCCTCCGCCAGTTGGCTGGGATGGCAATCCACTCGCTGTGCCTCATCCGGTGTTTAGGGATGTCAACTAAATGAAACAACCTTCTACTTTGAGTTCTGAATTTAAACTGTTTAATATTCCCAAATATTGTTTCTTAGATTCTTATAATAGATTTTCTATTCTATTATTCTATTCTATTCTTATCTATGTCATACGCAGAGACCGCATCTGTTTTTCTGAGCGGAAGAGTTATCTCTTGTTCCCCGCACAGGAGCCTTTGTTGCAGTGTGTGAGGTACATCTTAAGAGGTTTAATTTGTGGCTCTAGATCGATTAACTTGACATGCTCAGAGCTTATACTTTATGTTTATTTGTGTTCTTTTGAACTTTCTGGCAAGGGCCGGTCAGATTAGGTGTATGAAATATGAATTACATATTTATTTTTATAGCATTGCAAATTCAAGAATTGGACTGTATCTTTATTTTTCGATATTTTTTATTTTGCAGCTAACTTGTTGATTTAACACTCTTGCACCGAGCAAACTTCTAAGACTTTATTAGTATTATAATTTCGATTTAACTTGTGTTTTACAATAGTATTTATATGTTTAGATGTCGAGCAAACCGCGAGTTATGGCTATAGCTTGTAATCGCCTTCGTACATTTATTTTTCTTTTTAAATATACAGCAAAATTATTATAATTTAAATTGCCAGCATTAAAGATGTATGACCAGTAAGATGATGGAAATCCTTTATTTCGTTTAATAGGTTTTGATCTCTACTGTATGATTAACTATTGTTATTATTTAATTCGACCATGATTGATGTCTATTTATAGGCTTATGACTACGGATTGAATCTTTTCTATTTTATTTATAATGTTATTTAGTTATTTGTGAAAAATAAGTTGATAGAGTCTTTGTTTACATAATAAGATTCTTGCAGTACAGCCGTCATATTCTCAATTCATTTTTTCATTCCATTAAAGTTTGAGTTTACTTCATCAGTAATTCTTTTTAAAATATTAGTCGTAGAATCGACAAAGGAGGTTTGTTTCCTACTTAAGTCGTTAAGATTATGCTGTTTGCCTAATAAGTTCTTTATATTGTCCTCCATTTGTATCCTGTCGTCTTTATCTATTATCCCAAATAAAATGTGATATAGCGATCCCATTAATCTAATCGGATCTCGTTTAGTTCTTGATTTACCCTGAGCCATAAAAAGTTTATTATTTTCTTATAAGTCTGAGCTCTATGTCTGAGCTCTGTTTCTGAGATCTGTGTCTGAGCTCTGTGTTATTGAGAACTAAAAGACATTGATCTTCAAAACCATGAAGCTTTTTGCAAATAACTCTCATATTTGGAACCTTTACCTTTTTTAAGCATGTCGAAATAATATATGTCGTCCATATTAAAAAATATTATTAAATTCCAAGAGGAGGCTACAATCTCTACGACACCCGTTGGGGCTAGATATATAGCCGAAGTCTTATTGATTTGCTCTTTCGCATACTTTGGCTGATGAACTTTAGCTGATGCATTAGAAACTTGACACAATATAAATAATAATAAATGCATTATAAAAGCAAGTTTCGATATTGTGGATGTACCTTTTGATTGCCTCTTTGGTTTTCTTTCTTAACGGTCAAATTCAATTTTGTCAAAAGACTTAAGCCGTCTAAACTCCAGCTTCCCAAAAACCTCCGAAGTAAGGATAAAATGACAATCAATTCTATCCACACAAACAATTATGACAAAGTATCCCTTATGGGTCTTTAGTCCACGATTCTTGGAACATTTAATAAAATAATGAACTTCCAATATTTGCGTCATCGTAACACTCTATATAGGCAGATTCCCCATCATTTGTTGAGCTGTATTTTGTTTGTACCTCGGACGTTCATTCAAATACTATTTTCAAAAAATCCCAAATATCCATTACTTTCTTTTGATATAATTTCGCATAAGGTTTGTTCCTTAATGTACACTAGTCGGCATAATTATTTTGACGAAACTCTTTTTTGACTATTGAACTTAGCGTTGCTGGAAATCGTGAAATAACGGTGCGAAAATGAGGCGCAAAACAAAGAATATATTTTTACCTATGTGCTTGCCAAATTTTATTTCCTTTACCTTTTGCATTCACTTTCTACTGATAAGAATGCATGTGGACAACGGTTTTCTGCGTGGCACAAGTATTTTGACAGCATCTTTATGGAAATATTTTCACACTTTTAAGCACGCGAGAACCAATGAACTTCTGTGTTTCATTTGGAGTAATATTAAACGTTGTTATTAAAACAGAAAGTTATTAAAAATCAGTCAATAACATGGGTAAAACGGCTGAGCTAAGTTTGGTTACCAGATCTTCAATAGTAGCAAAGCTTAACGCTGGAATAGCAGTCAAAGACATTGCCAATGAGTTTTGTGTGTCGC